TGAATAGGATATTTCATAATAATAATGAAAGTACCAAGTGAGTAATGTAGATCCTATATGCAACTGGTCCCAGCCTGTATTGACTTCAGTTATGCCTAAATTTGATCCCCTATTTTTAAGGAGCAACAGTTAAGCATTTCATGTTATAATTGCATTTGTAATATTTTAGGAATATATCAGTCAGGGACAACACTCATTTAATATATTTGTAAACATTGTGCTAGAAACATACCTACTACTGTGCTAACACTGTAAACACAATTAAAATTGACTTCATCTTCTGAGCCACTAAGGCTAATATAAGCCATGCCATTGGTTCTATTTTTTAAATACTTAAGGTGCCATTATATCTTAATAATTTTTAGGATATTGATTCAATTTAATTTTCTCATTAACATGCACGTTATTGGGAAAGAATTGTGAAATATTCATTTTAAAGGACATTTTTATCCATTATTCAAATATTTTCTCTTAGTATAATTGTGCTGCTCTGGCCAAATCAGAAATGTACATGTTTTCTTTGCTTTATTTTTACACATGCCCTCTGTGTCCACTGTGCCTGCAAAGTGTTGTCTTTAGCATTTAGGGATATAAAAGTTGTAATTAAACTACATAAGTCTTGAGTATCCAACATAGTAGTGGAACATGCATTGTTTAGTAGATTTGTAAAATATTAGCCAAGTGGTAATCAGAATCTATGTTGCCTCTACGTACAATTTTTATGTTGTGTAGAGAAGGGAAATTCATGTAAGACCTTAATTTGAAGAAGACCTTTTAAGGTTCAGCTTAGTCTTTTTTTCTTTTTTTTTTCTTGTTATAAGCTATTTTTATCCTAAAAATGATGTTGGATTTTGATTTTGAAAATATTGTATTGTTCATAATCAAACTTTGGATCAATAAAATAATAAAAGCAAAAACCTAAAATCTAAAGTAGGGATTTATCCTGACAGATTGTATAACTGGGGGAGAAACTTCATTATTACAAAACATGAGAAGGCCATTGTTACAGGATGCAGTGAATAGTATTTCTCATTTCAGTTTCTAGTTGTTACATAACAGTGACCACATCTGTTTTGAGATGCTATTGCGCAGTAGTGTTAGAAGGCGCTAACCTTGACGCAATGCTACTGTGCAGTAGTAACAAGCTTGTTGCTACTGTACAGTAGTGTCAGAAAAAAACTATGTAGAGACACTACTGTGCAGCAACACCGGTTACTGCACAGTTATTTCGTACTTTGTTATGCAAGTACTAAATTACTGCCTAGTAATAGCTGTGTAGTCCACCACTTGTGTAGACACGGCCAGTATTAGATATAGAAGAAATTCTATTTAATTTAAATCAAAGTGAAATCTGCAATATTATTATGAATGAATACGTTTTTGTTTTGCAGTTGCAGATTAGAAAGAATAATATTTTGCTTAGGGATGACAATAATGATCAGTAGTCAACAGCCTAGCTGTGCACTCAGCAAGCTCTTTCTGTCTTAGCTTCTTCATCCCTTTGTTTAGACCTTTAGGGCATGTCCAGATGAGTGGGCATGTGCCTGTTCCACTGCCTCAAACCCCTTTGAGACAGCAAAACAGGTGCATGTGGGAATGAAAAAATGTTCCCTGCGCTGCAAACTTGCAGTGTGGGGAGAAAATTAGACTCCTGGGTATCCAGGGTTCTAAAAAAACGCTCCACAATAGAGCGGAGCAAGGCATGGTTCAAGACTGTACCCGGAGCCAGTCCTCCAAAAGAGATGCTCTGGTTTTTGCCAGAGCAACTCTTTGGTGTTCCTGCTGCCCCGGCGCTGTCCAATGTAAGTTGTGGGGGCAGGGGGTAGGCTGTCCAATGTAAATTGTGGAGGGGGGTGAGGGGTGGCAGGGGAATGTGGGGGGCGGTG